ATATTTTAGTGCTTGTATGCATTGTACTATCTACTTGCTGATATTTATCTTTGCCAACACAGGCAGGTGTGAGACTTGAATCAGTAGCTATGAAACAGCAATGTTTGCTGAGAATTTTTAGAGTATTTCAAACCAGACAGAAGTAGCCTTGGAGCTTTTGATATGTGACAATCAGAAAATGCTTGACTGTGAAATGCAGCTTTCAACATTTTTAAAATAGGTGTGAAGACTTCAAAAGCTGTTCCCATAGCTAAGTTAGGGGAGCTTGCTATCAGGCTATCTGGCCTTGTAGGAGATTTCAGGAAGTGTTGATAGACCCAGACTGCTATTTTGCCTTTAGGAGGGTGCAGGAACAAAAATGAGTTCTCTAGCATTTCTTGCTCAGTAAACTTTTTGGGAACGATAGCTGAGACACTTGCTAGTTGTCCTTAATATCTCCAGAAACCTATAAAGATGGGTCCTGTGGGGATTGTATGTTCCTGTCCTTGCTGTCCCCATATCTCTTGTCTGACTCTGTGCAAGAGTTCTGGTGGAAATATCCTACCAGTAAGGACTCAAAGGGTGAAAAGATGAATTCCCCTCCAGCCAAGCCATTCCCTATGGCTTGGTGGGAAGTCAGCGTACATTCCTAGACAGGCTGGTAAGAGTGTTTCTTTGCATCCCTGGCTCAGACAGGTAAGGTTATTATGACAGACTGTGAAACAGACTATGAAATGAAACTGACTCAGCATGAAGTAATGTCAAGGAAATAATAAATAACCAGGTGGAGGTTTTCCTCAAACCTTTCAGGTTGGGTAAGACGTCTCAGGCACTGAGAAACAAATTAAATGAGAATTCACGGCCCCTACCTCACAGTGCTGCAAAACAAAGGTTAATAATGTGGGAACAGGTCAGAAGGATAGGAGAAAGCTTACAACCATGGGTGCACGTGGTGTTTTGGGTAGTAATGCACACTCATTTACTGTTTCATTACCTAATAATAAGGAAGTATTCAAAATAAGTAGAAAGCAGTGAAAAATGAAACCTGATCATCATGTTTCTTACTGCAAGAGGCAGACAAGGCTCTTTGGGCAAATCTGTTATCTTTTATTAGACCAACTTAAATAGTTGGAAAAAAAATTTAAAGAATGCTTTTGGGTTTAAAAACCCTTTGACAGTCTGAGGAAGTTTCTGCAGTTAGTGTGTGCTCTTGGAGAAGCAGGAGAGAAATGTTTTTAAATGTCTGTCTAGCCCAGTTTTGCCTTTTATTTTACTCATTGTAAAATCTGTAAAATGTATTATCACAAGGAATCAAAGCTAAGAGTCAAGTACATTAAAAAACAAGACACTTTCATCAATGAAACCACCCAGTTGCTTAGCAAGAATTTTTGAGGGAGTTCTAATTGCTCGTGCTAAATGATCAGGATTAGCAAATCTTTCTCACTGGGCAGATGATTTCACGATAGTCTATTACACAGTTTCATGCATCTTGTTCTAGTGCTTTATTTGTACAATGCCTCCTGAATCCTGTTCCCTGTTTGGGATTCCTAGATATAATGGCTTTATGAATAAATAATATATAACACTACTGCTGTGGTCTCTGATAGCAGGCAGGTTCTTACAAGATACCACGTTTACTCAAATCTAAGACAAAGTTTTTTCCATATTCAACATGGGGGAAGCCCCTTGTCTTAGAATTGAGTACAAGGTGGTGTGGGGAGAGGGAGGGAAGCAGATGCAGTTCCACCTTCAACTCCAAGCCTGGGATTGGAATCAGAGTCACAGCAGCTGCTCCCTGCCACTTTCTCCCTGTTCCCACCCTTTCCCTTCCTCTTTGAGTCCTGGCTTCAGCTGGGGCCTTGCTGTGGCCAGGGCAGGAGGCATACAGGGGTTTGGACTAGATGACCTCATGAGGGCTCTTCCAACCCTAATTTTCTATGTATTCTATGATTTAAAGTGGCAAATGGGGAAGGGCAGGTGCCAGGGGATGCAGGCAGTGGGGTGGGCAGCAGGAGGGGTGCAAGTGGGAAGGCAGGCAGCACAGGGGTTAAGTGGGAGTGGAGGTACATCCACCACAGAGGCAGGCATGTGGTGTGCAGGCACCAGGGAGCAAGGGGCAGAGGTTAAGCCACTTGAATCTCATGCTGCAGCTTGTGCTACTGCAGCAGTAGGGAGGGTGGGGCACGAGGGATGACCAATTTAAGGCAACCCTCCAAAAATTAGATTCTAGACATGGAAAATTATAACAATTTTTTTTAAATTCCATGTATAGAATATAATTATTGTGGGGGTCATCTTAAATTCAGTTATCCTGGATTTGGGTAAATATGGTATTTCCTGTATTAGTGATATTGTGATTGTGGAATGTTTGTAAAATGTAAAGTCTGTTGCCATAATAATACCCAGCTTTTACACAGAATAGTAGAAGTGTACACCTTGCTCCCCCTCTCCACTCCCCCCCCTTCAAATATATAAAGGGTGGTTAGTAGAGAAGAGTGATAGATAAGTAACAATCTTAAATTGTAAAGTTTAGGTTGGATTTTTCAGAACTTTCTTCTGGCCAGTTGAGCACTAGAAGATAATTTATATAGGTTATGGCGTTTCCATCTTTCAGTCTTAGTTGCATGACAAGGTTTAGATCAGTGGTTCTAAACCTTTTTGGACTGAAGGCACCCCTCCATAGCTTCTGTGAACTGAGTGGCACCCTATTTGAAAAACTACTTTATATATTACGGTGCTTACCTCCTTGCAAAAGAGGTAGACAGTGAGGGTGGGGGATCATCCTGCCAGGGACAAGCCTGCTTATCTGGTTATCTCCTCACACTGCCCTTCAAAAGATCTGGCGGCACCCCAGGTACACCGGTTGTTAGTCACTGGTTTAGATGAAGATGATCTCACCCTGAACCGCAGGTTGATTGAGGAATTTTGCTGTAAAATCTTGTAACACAAATGTGATTTACACTGGATTTCCCTAATCAGATTAAGTAGCTGCCTTCCTCTTGTTCTTCTAAGGTTGTGTTTGGAAAGACACACCTTTGGTTGTAGGATGGCTGGCAGTAGTAAACTGTAAACCTAATTTTGGACCCTACCATCACTTCTGCAGGGGCTTGAAATTCTTGAAGATTTCACTCATACCCATTAATCTGTGTTACCACTCAGTTAACTGTTACTATCCAGTCATTTGGAGACCTGTTTATCTTCTTGTAAGTGGATCTTCAGTTACCTGTAACACTTGGGATCAAAGACTTTTGATTTTCCACCAGTAGCAACTTGGCAGCACACCTCTTGCATAAGCTCACGTTTCAGGGAAACATTATTCAGGTGGTTCCACAATATGAAACAGGGACGGTCACACCAGGTGTCCAGGGCAGCCCAAATTCCCTGGAAAGGTATCTGCTGGGTAAGTAGAGGGCAAGTAAGAAATTGGCACTCTGCTTTCCATGCACCCCCTTTTTGTTTCTTTTCTCTCTGGATCTACAAGGTCTCTCTGGATCCTCTCTGCCTTTTCCCAGGGAGGAAATGGCATATGTTAGCCACTTCACACCTGAAGCAATATATCCCTATTTTAATAGAAATGTATAGCTTCATAGTAATACCAAAGGCCTTACTGCAAACTCCTCTAACCCAATTATAATGCTGATTGTAATTCTGATTTGCATGGTGGCAGTAAGAAAAATATTTACTTGTTTGCATAAAATGAACTGTTCCAAAAAGGAGATTTTACCACACCTTCAACTCGCCTTTGAAAAGTAAACTTTCATTTCCGCCTAGGAAAACTTTTACAATCTTTTCTCCTATGCCTGAAGAATGCCTGTGCCTGAAAGCTTGCAAATAAAGAACATTTTTTGGAACCATCTAGCTAGTCTAATAAAAGATATCATGTCTACCACCACTTCTGATTTCTTTTAACTTGTTTGAGACCTTTTATTGAATGCAACAATATACAGCAGCTATGTATTTTGCAACCTACAATAATTTTCCTTCATCTGAGAAGTCTTCCTAAAGAATTTTCTCCACCTTAGATAGCAGCCACATAACCTTTACTTTGAGACTTCTGTGCCTTTTTAAATTTCAAATGCTCTGTGATGCTTGGGCATAAAGGATAAATTGTCTACGGTTACCATTAAACTAATAATTGAACAGTAATGTATGTGTTAAGCTAAACTGCAATATTTGTAGCTAGAGTGGTCATGGGCAAGGAGGGGAAATCAGTACAAAGTAGGTAACTGTTGACACACAAAACCCTTGCTTCTTGTGATACCTTTTATTGGACCAATTGTATAGCTGGTAGAGAATTCTGACAAGCTTTTTTACTTCATCCTTTGTTGACACAACAAAGTTATTGGGAATACAGTTACTTTGGCCCCATAGTTTATATAGCTAAGCATATTGGATGATTCAGTAAAAACTATCCTGCATGGTACTCTGAAAAGCAGAAAAAGCATGGGACACTAATGCTAATCCATACATTTTGACACTTGACAGAGCAAATCAATCACTTCCAAAAAATAAAAGTATGCAACTGTAATGTTTCAATTGTATAAAACAGTAAGAGGCTGGACAGGAAATACTATAGCAGATTGTTGTCTATGAACTGATGATATTAAGGGCAGATATACAACTAAGGCAAATCTTTATTATTTTTGGTAGATACAAAACAAAGCAATTTTAAAAGAAGCTTTATTTTCAAGACTTCCAGTGATCTTCTGCAGTGGAACTTCACCAAGCCTAGGCAGCAATACTTTTATTAATGTGTCTCACATTTACAAAAACAGCAATACTGAGAGAGTAAATGGCTGTTTGGAATAACTATTCCAGTTTGGCAGCTAAAGCTTATGAAATGAGATAGCAGCTATGCCTGCATTTTCTGCTTTCAAATTGTTACCCTAAACCAAATAATCTTCAATTGCTTTATTATATATCTGAACTTCAGTGCACTATGCAAATACTTTTCTCACACTATACCTGACTCCTAGACAAGTGCAATGTTTTAGAGCTTCTGTTGGTGCTTAGATAAAAGCTGAATGCTATTTATGCAAAGCAACTAGCATGGTGTATAAAGTTATATCTATATTCCACTATATAGCAATAGCTTTTTATATAGTTTAAGCAATGGAAATAGTATTTTTACAAGGACTTTTAAAATCTTAGATCAAGAGTGCTTATGGGGAGTGGGGACAGGGGATGGGGAGAAATCTGCAGAACTGCATAAAATGGTTGATTAAAATTAATAAGAAGCAATGTTTTACAGAAACTCTGGTACCAGTATCTTCCATAAAGAGGCAGTAATTTAATAATAAAACTAGTTCAAGCAGTTTGATGTAGCAAACTTTAAATCTGCCACTTGGTGACAGTGACTAGTGAGGCATTTTTTGGTACTGTACCACTTGGTACTGTGTAATACATGATTTGTGCATTAACTGACACAAATCCAATCCCACAAATGCCTGCACACAGGTGTAATTCTTCCTGAATGTGAATGTCTCAAGTCAATAGGATTATTCACAAAAAAGAAGTTAAGGACATGTGTTAACTGAGGCTCCCATCCTAAAGACATTTATGTTCCTCATTTTAATTGGTTTATGTTACTCATAGTTATTAAATAACTTTAGAATTTAAAAATGTAGGAGAGATAAAGAACATATCCTTATATTCGTAAGAATAATGTATGTATGCCTGAACAGAGCAAGACTGTCAAAATGTGCATCTCCTTTTCATAAAACCTCACTTGGTTTTATGCCACTTGATTGCTGTAAACAGCTCTGAGAAACCTAAGCCTCGTTCTAGTGCCGCCAGTAAGATCAATAGATGCAGACCTGGTTTCTTAGGAAAGGCAACATTTTAAGTTGGACTTATAATATAAAAGGGGTTGGATCAAATTTCCTTGTTGCTGAGAATCAGAGGAGACCATATTTAAGTATTTTACTAATTTGGTCAGTTTGTTTTAAGAAATATGAATCTGTATGAATTAAGTGCTAAATAAACATCAGATCCAACAATGTTTCTGCTGACTTCAATGACAAAATTCTAAACTTTTTCATCTAAAGGAAGATCAAACCTCTCAATAACTGAGGTCACTAGAGAGAGAGAGGAGTTTTAGCCAATGCAGTATTTTTGTGCCCAGGTTAGAGAAACCTCATACATTAAGGTTTTCACATATTTAGCAATGCTTGATCGACTGTGTGTAATGCTCATTCAACATCATGAGCATCAACACATAAAGTAGCAATTAACCTTGTTTAATTGAATATGAGATACCAATATTAATTAACAATGTATAGATATTCTTAATTTGGTCCCAACTGCATCCAATCTCGATTATCCCTTCAGTTTCCTTCTGCTGATTTAGATATCTCCATCTCCCAGTGAATAAAGTGCCATTTTCTCATTTTGGTGCAAATATGCATTTTCTCATTTGATTTCATGGCATCTTCTTCAGGATATCTTCATTTTAGAATATTTAACTTATAAATATTTTCTAGTTTTAAGGTAGTTAGACTGAAAATGTAATTAGAATGTACAATTTGTATAGAGGGCTCTAAAATCTGTTGCATACCTCTTATCTTAGTGTATAAACAGTGATATTAAATATAAGAAATATGCTTTGAGTGATATTTTTTCTATCTTAAAGGCTTTGGTGTTGGTGTTAGTATTATTCCAGTCAGCTACAGGATAATAGCAACAGCAAAAACATTGACAATGCAGTTCATTGTTCGGTTCTCCCATCTCACTGTGCAGGTACCTAAAAGATATTAAAATTGAGAAATAAGATGAGACAATGACTCCATTACATTTTGTACATTTCATTACATTCTTTCCTAAGAACCCAGTCTTTAATGTCAGTCTTTAATTGTCCCGACGAATTCAGCTACTGATTTCTCTAATTCATAATTCTGTTTATAAATATCAACCTAACTTTTTGTTGCTACTTGAAATACAAAACACCAAACCAGCGATTTCCTCTAACTTATAAAGTACTATTTACTAGCAGACATGGGTTTTATAATCTTATTTAACACTCAATAGAATGTAACAGGCTGTTTTCTCCTTAATCTATTTCCTTAGTGTTAATAGTGCTTCTGTGACTTTCTGAGCAGCATGGAAAATCAACTTGGTCAAAACTTTTCCTGCAATTTTTGCTTTCTTCTTCCTGCTCTTATACTAATGGTATTCCTCCTGCCAAGAAAACATTTTTCTTTCTTCTCGTACACTTAAAGGAGTTGATAGTTACTGAAACTCAAAGCTTTTTTAGTGCAGGTGCAGACAGATCAGCGATTCAGCGTCAGTTTTTAAAATCTGGATTTTAAGTTCTCTGTGCCCTGTAAAGTTCTTCCATGTTCAGGCAATGAATCAATATTTTCAAATTGCCAGATATTTTGGGGCCCTTGTGCTTCCTGAAGCCTTCGTCTGTGCATAAAAAATATACATTAACACCACAGCTATATGACTACACAGTTTAATAATGTTGGCCTAAAATTAAAAGAGCTAGAAGTGAAACAATTTCTCTGCCAGCTCTAAAGCTAATTAAATGCAGAGATTAACACATGCTGACTTGACACTTTTTTACTGGAATTTTATTTTCTAACAAATGCCATAACTCAGTTACATTCTAATGTGCTCTCTTTCTTTTTTTACCCTTTATCCTGTTCTACAGTACTTGATGAAACTGAGCTTGGCAGGCTCAAAAATATTCTAACAATCTTACCTCTGCACATGGTGAACTGAAATAGAAGCACCTAGAATTAATGCAGAAGCAAATAAACATACCAACTAATACATATTTATGAAATAGCTATAAAAGCCAAATATAGCACTAGAATGATGCCAGGATAATCCAGGAAATGAGAGAGGTAAGGATTTTTGCGGGCAGTATCTTTTAGTGGACCAACTAAACAGCTGGGATAGACTTAGATCACCTTTCAACTGCAGGACACCTGGATAGATCACCCACAAAGATCTTTGCCTCTCATAAAATAATCAAGCTATTGCTGTTTTAACTAAAGAGTTTTTTTTTTATCCTTTCCACTCATAATAGGCAAATATTCAGCACTGCAGATGTACAGTTGGAGTACACAGTGAATCAGTGCACTTATAATTGAAGATTCTCTATGGCCACTGAAGGGGGGACACTTGAAGATTACTGTTTACTGTATCCTGACTGTCCCTGATAAAGGCATTATTTTTTTTCCAACAGGAAAAGAATTATTGATTTCCATTAGCATATATGATACAAAGAGGTAAAGCCCTAGCAAGATCAATCAATATAAAAGGATTTATTTGTGGAAGGAAGATGTTGCTGAACCCTGGAATGATTCCACACAGACGTCTACAAAGATCTGCAACGTGCTTCTGAAACTGACTTGAGTTTGCTGTGATTGCAAACAAGACTTCAATTCTGGAAGTGATGGCTTTTGCAATCAGCCTTACTTAGCCTAATTAGCCCTTCAAACTGTTAAATAATAACATTTCTAACAGTGCTGAGCAACAGGTAGTCTGTTTGCTGACTTTTAGTGAGATGCTTTTATGCAAATCTCAGGAAAGGAACTCACCATCAGTTGTGGTATCCCAAAAGCATGAACTTGCTGTGTGGAGGCCAGCTCCACTCTTCTGCATCACTGCACAAGTTACTAAAGGAAAGAGTAATAAAAGCAGTATTTTCTTTTGTTCATGAAGCAAGAGAGAGATGAATCTTTCAGAACTGCAAAACTGTTTTTTTATTACATTTTCATATACTGGGAAGCTTTAAAGCATAGGTGATACTGTTATTTTGTGCCTAAATAAGAGTGCCAGCTGTACCCTTCATGTATGCTTTTATGCTAGACTTGGACCTAAGTTCATATTTTACTGATTGCAAACCTTTCATTTTTTCTAAAATTGGGCCTGAAGTATGTATACAAGCAGAGAAATAACTTCTCTTTGTCAAAACAAGGAAAGCCATTATGCACACTACCTTTTAGAAATTTTAAGATGACTTTTTTTGTTCTAGCATTAGGTTTTCTTACAATGTCTGCTTAATCTAAAACTCAAATGTAATTTTGTTGTAGCTGTTTAAACTTCTTACTGGCGCAAAGGCAAGAGCTTAGCCAAAAAGCTTATTGGTAGGACTAAATTCCATAATTACTTTTCAATACTTAGGGTTGGTAAATGCCTCGAAAGCACAGCCACACATCAGAAATGTCAAGGCACAGTAAGATACAGTGCCCACAGCAAGGGATTGCCTGATACAGGTAGTGTTCATCAAATCTTCTTAGTTGCAGATCAGTGGGGGGTCAACTATTTTGAAAGGCATGCCACACTATACTCTCTCCCACCCCGTTATGGCATGCCACTCCGATCCCCCACTCCTGCCCAACTGGTTGCTCTGCCCTATGCTCCCTGTCTGATCTGCTGTTGTGTTCCCTTGCTCCTTCTCTTATGTACCACACAGGTAGGCTGCCCATGTCAATTGTGGCATGTGCACCATGGGTTAATAACCCCAATGAAGACACTGTAGCACAAGCCACCTTCCAAATAGGGTGCAACATCAACTTGACATTGCTGACGCGATGCGGTTCCTCCCCTCCCCCCTCATTTCATGGTGTCCCTTCCTTGCCCCACCCCTCCCTTCCTCATTTGCATGCCGGCCCCGCTCTGCGCCGGTCCCCACTGGCTGCGTGGGCTGGAAAAGGTTGTGGTGCTGCGGGCAGGTGCAGGGGGTGCGGCTGCCAGTGTGGAGGGATGCTGTGGCTGGGCCTGCGGGAAATTCTGCTGCCGCTGCTGCTGTGGCTGTCGGGGCAGGAAGCCGGCGCTGCTCCCACCTCCCCCCGCACCCGCAGACATTGCACTGGGGTGGTGAGTCGCGGGCCCCAGGGAGGGAGGGACCCCTGCCGCTTGGGCTTGGGCTGCCCCAGGGGAGAGGGAGCAGGGAGGTGTCCCTGCACATCCCACACCCCCCTGTAGAGTCCCCACATGTCCCCCTGGCTGCTGAGCCCAGGTGCACAGGTGTAGGAGCATCCTCAAGGTCGCCCAGGTGGCAGGGAGAACACGGTGGGGTCAGGGGGCACCCCTTGACCCCTGCTCCCCCAGGCTGTGGCCAGATTGGACAGGCCGCGTGAGCTGGCCCACTGGGTGATAAAAAGTTCATGATCCGACCCCACATTCAAAAAGGTTGGACACCCCTGATCTAGAACTTAGAACTGACAACACTTTAAAAGGCAGATCACCAATTCTTAGATACAACCTTTTAAAAAAATCTTATCCATTTGGATTCAGAATAATGCAATCTACCTCCTACAAGTAATGCCAGAAGTGTTGGGTGACATAACTGTTTTGAGTTTTAAGTATATATAAAAACATCTCTTCTATTTTCTTCTACACTAGTTCCTTCCATCCAAGTAAGGAATGAGAAGGTACCTCAGATACCTTGTTTTAAAAAGCATGCTTTTGAATAACTGCTCATCTGAACTGTGTAGAAGGGAAAGAATATGGTCAAACTGTACTTACCAATGTATTTGTATGTTTTTCCTAATTTCACCAGATGTGTTAAAGATTGCTCTACTATAGTAGCAGTCCACTGATTGACTTTGTCATGACTATAATCTGCCTTGCCCAAAATGCTTTCTATGCACTGAAAACAGAAAAATGAATTATGATAGGAAGTAAATATGAAATATGAAACATAATAGCAAAGGAAACTATGCTACTAAGGATGCATTCCTTAGTAGAAAGCATTCCAGAATGCATGTTCGTATCTTGGGTCCCTTTTAATCAGTTTGGCTATCTATAAAGCAGTTGTTTAATTGTAAATTAAAATATAATTCAGCATTCTTTGCTGAAGAGCGCAGGAATGTATTTTTACCATACACTGTTCCCTAAGTTGCAACTGATGAGGTATGGTGAAGCTGTTGCTAAAAACTTACTTCTGAATAGATATTAGCTGTAATATATTCTAATAATCTGGTTGGGAAACAGATTTACTATTCACTTGCCAGGAAAATAAAAGTTCCGATTACACTTACTGATAGTAAGTTATTATCTTGTATAGTGAAGTGTCACTGCTTCTCCTTCAGAATCTATAGTAATATAAAAATGTCCTTTTAGGACAGACTCCTCATTTCTTAAAAAAATAAAATAAAAAATACAGATTTGTTCATTCTAGCTATGTAAACTTTAAACTGGTGAAATAACTGTGCTTTCCTACAAATGTAATCCTTCTAATTCCAATTAAGCTTCAAATTTGATCAATGAAATAATAGTCTCCTGGAATTCCAGAGACCAAAACATAGGATTAAACAATATTAAACTGTAACAAAACTAACCCTTTACATGGTAGGTAAATAAGAATACCTTTTTTGATAGAAACCGTTTGTCCCATGAACACCCACTGAAATTATTTAGGAGTCTGTGGGCACGTCTACATGAGACACTTAACTTCACATTGGCATAGGTTACTGCGAAGTAAGCATGTGTGTCTACATATGCACATGCTTACTTCGCAGTAAACCTCCCTAATACTGAGTAAATTTGCAACCTGCAAATACAAGTAGCAAATTAACTTGGCATTAGTAATGGCGCCATACTGCTTGTGTAGATACCTGACTGGGAGCAAAATCTGATCCTAGTCAGCTGTCCACCCAGGGGCAGGAGATTGCTCCCCGCTCCCGGGAGCTGCCTGCTGCCAGGGTGGGCTCCACCACAGAAGCCTGGGCAGGGACTATGTCCCCCTGCTCCAGCAGCAGTGAGCTGTAAGCCCCCCACTCTGAAATTGGAGACCAGGGACTGGGAGATCCGTATCTCCCAGTCTCCGCTCCACCATCACAATCAGGGAGCAAAGGGCTGGGAGACCCTTATCTCGCAGCAGCAGCTCTGTGAGCACAGGGCTACTGCTGGGAGATGCTTATCTCCCAGCCTGAGCCCCCAACTCCAGAGCTCAGGCTGGGAGATAAGCATCTCCCAGCAGTGGCCCCACTATCACAGAGCAGGCACTGGGAGCTCCCTGCTGGTGGGGGCTGGGGAGCTTGTTACCTGATCAGCTCCGTAAGTGTGGAGCGGGGGGGCGGGGAAGACAGGACATACAAGCTCCCCAGCCTGTTCTTCCACCCAGTTCTCATGGAGCTGGGTGGGGAACAAGCTCCCAGCCCCCACCCCGCAGGTCCCAGTCCTGTGCCCTGATCAGGTGATTGAGGCATGTGGCTTGGAAAGAGCTGCAGGGGTAGGGTAGGTCCCAGCCCCCTGCCCCAATCTGCTGGTGGGACAGCTAGCAGCTAGCTTGGATCAGGGCAGGGGACTACCTCTCCCATGCAGCTCTTTCCAAGCCCCATGCCCTTGATTGGGGAACCAGTGCTAGGAGCTCCCTCCTGGTGGGGCAAATGAACATTGTCCCCTGGGCGCAAGAAACAGCTGTCTCTTGACCAGGAGCTCCCTGCCAGCCCCTAGGTTAGCTCCCAGGGGCAGCCTGAAGCTCCCCTGTAGCGATAGGGGCCCATTGCAGGGCTGCTGGGACCTAGGAGCAAATCTGTTCCCTAATCCTCACATGTGTAGACACCTACCCAAAAACACTTACTGCATAGTAAAACTAGGCTGGAGTAACTGCATGTGTAGAAACTCCCAACAGCATAAGTTTTCAAACTTTTTTAACAAGTGTAACCCTTCTGTCTCAAATTTTCAGCTCGTGTACCCCTTTATTTTTTTCTTGTTTTTAACGTTACCAATTATGTGATATAAGGCAGGCTACACTAATCAACATTAAATGCATTATTAATATATACATTAAATATATATATCATAGTTGTGCCATAACAGTTTGGGCCTGGTATGCTGGTGGATCAGTAGTGCTGGAAGGGGTATGGGGGGTGGGGTGCAGATCAAGGCCCCTGTGGTGAGGGAGGGAGGGAGTGGGGCAGGGGCAGAGGCAGGCACTGCACAGCTAGGGTGAAGAAGAGAATGGAGCTGTGAGCATCTCATTTGTGGGGTGTGGCTCTGCCACTGCGTGCTCCCCAGAAGGGCATGGGGGGGTGTGACCCCCAGATCTGTCTGAGGAGTGAGGGTGGGCTGCCACTGCAGGCTGGGGCAAGGGCAACGCCAGGCTCTCCCTGGTGGGGGTTGGGCCAAGGCTGTGCTCAGGGCAGGCAGCGGCGGTGCTGGGAGTGGGGGCTACAATGAATTTTGAGGAGGTTGCAGCCCCTCCCTTCCAATGCCATTGCTCTCGACACTGCCAGGTTGTGCTTCTGGCCGCCTGCATGCATGCACTGAGGCTGCATGCACGCATGCTACATTTATCAGCTGTATTGTCAGCCACATCAGCCAAAAAAAGCCAATTGGCGATACAGTCGATTTTCCTTATACCGGTGCCAATCTGACATGGGACCAATGTATCAGTGCACCTCCAGCAGTTTTTTCTCATTCATTCTGAGTACCTGCTACGACCTTTTTAATAGGATCAAACCCCCAAATTAGTTTGGATCCAGCATTATATATTATAGTACAGAAATGAAGATAGTGTTATTATCTTGTACTTATTTCTTTTACAATTTTATGACTATTTATTACAAAAATATTCTTCAAGTCATCTATTTTTTAGAGAGATGCTACTGCTAGACAACAGAACATCCTAGCTTTAGTTACGCTTTAAAGCAGAGGAATGGGTATTGGCTTCATTCCCATAACTGATGCAAAATAACAAAAATCTGTCATACAGTCAGCTTTTCAAGACAGGAACACTTATGTAAAAAGCTGAAATGTTCATATGACCCTGCACAGCAAGCACAAAAAAACCCCTAGGCTGAAACAGTTCTTGAAAAGTACAGCTTTTTTTAATAGGACATGCAGGGAAGCCCTTGCAGAGTCTGCAAAATCCTTCGGGGAATATTTTAATAGAGAAGTGCATCCTGTAAAACTTTCCAGGACCTGCATGGAATAGGATGTAGACTTTCACTTACTGGTAACACCAGCATTTCATTTAACCAATTAATGAGATAAATCATCTTAGACATATTTTGTCTTGCATAGAAAGCATTAAGTCTTAAAAACCAATTACAAAATTACATTTAAATGCTTATGTAAAGTAAAATTCTGGGTTCATCCCATTGTAGAATGCCCCTCAAAAGCAACCTTTCTTTCACTTACTGTAGAGATGAAGACAATTCTTTCTACAAGCTTGGGGTTCTTTTTGGTAAATACAGTATAAGCCACTTAAGATATCTCTGGGTAATGTGGGCAGCCACTAAATTTGTGCATTTGGGATTCAGCCATTTGCTAAATCCCATTGTTTTCAACAGTAAAGGTTCTATCTAAACTGCATTAAGCCTGTCTGGTAACCTACATGGGAACAGTCTGCTTTCGGCTATCTGCACCTCTTCAGGCTCCTTACATTGTTACTTTGAGAGACTCCACTCTACTTGTAGCCTTTAAGGGGACAGAATCTAGCTGGTTTCACACTGGTAACAGCACAAAACTGACAGCAGTTGAGCTGGGCTAAAAAGAATAACCTCCCTCTGCACATGTCTAGCATTCAGAAAATTGCCAGACAAGCCTATTATATATGGCTTATGCTGCTTCTCATTTCCCTGATGTCACAACTGGGAAAGAGGTTGACTAAATCCAAGAGTTCAAGAAATTAAATGAAAAAGAGGCCTACATTTACTTTTTAAATAAAAAATGCAAATATTATCTGGACCATTCGATCCTACGCAAAAATAGAAAAAAACTGTGTAGAGAAGAGCAAATGACTGGCCTGGATGGGCAAACACTTCAAACAGTACATTAAGAGTAAGTAGAAGTGATGGCAAAGAGGATTGATCAACAAGGAGGGAAAGTTGTCAGAGGCTAAAATGAAAAAACAACCAAAGCCTTGGGTAGTCCTACTTCAGGTTGGAGCTGCCAAAGAAAATAACAGCAAAAGATTCAAGTCATGACCAGGGAACTAGGAAGGAAGAAATGGGACCATTGTATACTAAAGATAGGGGGAGGACAACAAGAATAATCTAGATATGACCCAACTATTAAATGAATGCTTTGGTTTGGTCTTCAAAGATGAAGATGTAAATGAAGATAATGTAAGTACCAGATTGAAATGAGTACATCTGAGGAGGCAGCAAATCTTAAATTGCTTATGGAGACAAAACTGGAGGTTGGATAATCTCCATTTTAGACTATTTAAAATTGATAAATTAAATAGCAACTTCTATAGCATAGATCTATAATGAATCTGTCAACCTGGGGATTATGACCGGAGAATAGCAAATTTACCTAGGTCAAGAAGAGAGTTGGGAAGGAGAGGGGAGGAAGGATTTCAAGCAATTACAGACCTGATATTTTGAATTCAAATGTAGTCAATTAGGGATCTTAGAACAGATACTGAAGGAAAGAATAATCATGAAAATAGAAAATGGACACAATGCAATATGGTTTTATCACAAAGGCTAATCTAATTCTCTGACAAGACCACTACTACTTAGATACGAGCAATGCTGCAGACCTAATCTATCTAGGATTTAAGAAAGCATGACACACTGCCTCATTGGAAATCCATATGTTAAATTGGGGATAAGAGGTTTAATAGGCTCAGATCAAATGTAAGGTGCATAAGGAGATGGCCAAAAGACAGATTACAATAGATCAGAGATAAATCGGTAATTGCATTCCTCAAGTATTCCTTAGCAACTTTGGTGTAAAAACTAAATGTAAATGTCAGCTTTTCAAATCTGCAGACATCACACATCTAGGAAGTACTGCCAGTCAGAGGAGGATCAGATTACACAGGAAGAACTGGAAAAACTTGTGACATGGAGCAAGAGGAATGACATAAAGTTTAATAGGCTAAGTGCAAGTCATGTATTTATGGACTAATACCAAGAACTTTAGCTGTAAGATGAGGTTCATAGCCTGGAGGCAACAGAGGAAGAAAGAAACCTGAACATGCTGGTCAACTGCAGGATGAACATAAGCTGCCAGGGTGGTGTCCAGGGTATTAAGTGGAATATATTTAGCAAAAGCTAAAAATGTGCTAGGGAAGTAATAAGACCAGTGTACAGACATTAATAATATGGTACAATATCAAACTGGCTATGAACAAATTTAGAGTGGAAATTTAGATTTCTAGTGGGAGCGATATTCTGAAATGCTTTTTGGAAAAGTAGTGCAAGTAAGGAATTTAATGTTTCAAAATAGAGCTCAACAAGTTTATGGAAGAGACAATGATAGGACAGGGGTGTTCTTAGAGCAATAATCTGAACACATCATGTGGATGCAAATGTTTAGTAATTTGATGGTGAGAAACTTGCTGTCCATTTGGGAGGTATCTGGTATCTAATGTTTCTGCAGAACCCAGGAAGGATATTTTTCACCATGAATAAAGTAAGTGGTTCCTTTAGGGTGCTGACAGGTGTGCAGCTCCATAGTCTAACTCATGATGCTTCACAGACAGACATTTGGGTCAGGAGGGTGGAGAATTATACTCTGCTTTGGAGATGATCCAGCCAAGGAGCTGTGTGTCTGCAGTTTCTCTACCCTAGCCACCCACTCCTTCACTCCCCCAGCTCTGGTGCTGTCTGCACAATGGCAGTTGGGGAGAAGGGAGGGGAGGGAGCTCGGGCTGGGGTCTGCTCAGCTTGTGCTGGAATGGGGGCAGGTGGACTGGAAAGTAAAAGCGGGGGTTTAGCTGGAGAGCACCAGTGCTACTTAAAAAAATCTCACAGGTGCCTGGATGTAGTTTCTTGCCCAAATGCTCTGGCTCAAACAGACTGCTAGATTTGAAGTCAGGGAGGAACAGCAGCCCAGTTTTCCTACACCCATACCTGATCAGGAAGGATCCTGGTTTTTGCTGATAAAAAATCCCCAATTTTTGGTTTTAAAAAAGTAACCCAAAATCTACATTTAATATATGAAACATCACTTATAGATATATAGATATAGATATATATCTATATCTATATATATATAAATAAAAATATGTGTGTGTGTGTGTGTGTGTGTATATATATATATAATCTCCTAGAAAAATGTGGAATTTAGATTACTTTTTAAAATTGAAAATTTTTTAATTAGAGAAAACCAGGATCCCTGCTGATCAGTGTGCGGGGGGGTGGGGGGGGGTGTTCTGCCTTGTGCTGTATCACAAAGTATGCTTCTCTCATCTGAACATATTCTAACCTGAAAATTTCCTGCATTTTCAGTGGTAAAGTACTGTTAGCATCTTGTCTGTGTTTCCCTGCTCCTGCTCCCACCTGCTCCCTCACCCATTCTTCACTTATGGTTCATCACAGGGTTTGGTGCATCAGAATGCTTTGTGGTTGTGGTATGTGAGACGGTTCAAAGGGGATGATGTGAGTGACCTTTTTGGACACACAGCTGCCTGCGAATCCAGGGGACTGACCTCTGGGCCTAGAGGCTCCTGCTACTTATGTGTTTTTGTATAACCTACCTCTTTAACAATGTTGTGGGCTTCATCAGCATTGAAGATCATCTGTTAAAAAAACCCCAATGTGAAATACTGTCAGTAATTCATTTGTTTACTTATACAATGCTATTCCTATTAAAACACAGATTAGGTCTTGTATCAAATGATTTAAAAATATAAAAAATAGTTCTTCCCTTTCCAACACTGCACATCTGTCACCTGGTGTTAATTCTTGGGCTAAACTGCCCCTCACCGTGGGAGAATTTGAATAGGCCTTAAAAGATAAGCCCTGAGTACTCACATCAGGCTCATCTTGGACTTGCCTAAATATTCTTGATAGCAAGGAGTCATGACCCACATGGTCAAGTCTTGTTTACTTTTTAAATGAAATAGCAAATAGGTGGATTCAATCTTTGTACCAAAAATGATGACGTTTTATAAGCAATGCCAGGCTCATGTAATTTGTTCTGAATTCACTGATAATGTCAGTCCTCCTGGCCTGTTTTTTCCTGTTCATCTTTGTTAATGTTTCTTCTGCTAGCTTCACACTACCTTCTTCTTAAGCTCTCACCACCACCCACTCCCAATAAAATACTTATGCTGCAGTGTGTGGTGCTACAGAAATAGCACAGGCAGACATGGGTCACTGAAGAAAATGATCAGTCTTTGGGTGTAACACCAGAGGGTTGGAGGGGGAGAGCTAGGGCATAACTCTGATGGGGTGATTGTGTGTGTGAGGGTGCAGCTCACATGGGAAGTGTGTATGTGTATGTGTAACTCTGGGAAATGTGTGAGGGCATAAAACTGTGATGGGGGGGTGCATGCCTGAGGGTTTACGGTGGGAGTGGGGGGGGGGGGGGGGGGGGGGTTGGGTGCAACTGTGGGAAGGTGTGTGACAGTGAGGGTTTAAAGTCTGGTAGGTAGGTGGGCGTGGGCGTAGCTCTGCTGGGAAGTGTGTGTGTGAGTGTGAGGGCATAACCTGGATGGGGTGTGTGGTGGTACAACTCCAGTAGGAAAGGTGCATGTGAGCAGGGTAACTTAGGGGAGGGGTGTGCATGCATGCAACTCTGGGAAGTGTGTGTTTTGGGCAAAACTCTGTGAAGTGTGTGCGTGAGAGAGAGAGAGAGAGTGTACCAGGGCATAACCTGGATGGGATGTGTGAGGGTGCAACTCCAGGAAGAAGCGTGCTTGTGTGTGTGGGGGACAGGGGGGTAGCTTGGGGGGGGTGCATGTGTGCAACTCTGGAAAGCGTGTGTGTTGGGTGCAACTCTGATGGGAAGGGTGAGTGTACGGGCATAACCTGGATAGGATTGTGTGAGGGTGCAGCTACAGGAGGAAGTGTGTGTGAGAGTAACTTTGGGGGAAGGAGGGAGTGCACATGTGCAACTCTGGGAAGCGTGCGTGTTGGGCACAGGTCGGAGGCGTGCGGTGTGTCACTCATTTGGAAACTACACAACGTCCGTGCGCGCATAACTCTGGGAAGTGGGCATGTGTTTGGGCACAACTCTGATAGGAAGTGTGCACTGCCTTTTGGAAACGAAGCGGGGTGCGCGCGCGTGCGCATGCACAAGTCTGATGGGAAGTGTGTATGTGTCCATTTGGAAACGAAGCGAGTCTGATCCAGCGGAGCAGTGCCGGCCGCCGGGCACACGGCCGCCCGCGCTCCAGGGGCTGCAGCTCGGCGGGCCCGCCCGGAGCCCGGCGTGGCCCACCCTCTCCCTCCCCGCGGGGCCGGCCGTGCCCCTTCCCGAGCGCAGCTTGCGCAGGGGAACTCCTACCTCGTCGTTGTGGGGGTGAAACTCCTCCATGGCAGCGGCGGCGCCCTGCCCCTCCGCGG